ATATATATATATATATATATATATATATATATATATATATATATATATATATATATATATATATATATATATATATATATATATATATATATATATATATATATATATATATATATATATATATATATATATATATATATATATATATATATATATATATATATATATATATATATATATATATATATATATATATATATATATATATATATATATATATATATATATATATATATATATATATATATATATATATATATATATATATATATATATATATATATATATATATATATATATATATATATATATATATATATATATATATATATATATATATATATATATATATATATATATATATATATATATATATATATATATATATATATATATGTATATATATTAAGTGTGATCCAGCATTTTTTACAGTTTTCCATCGCTGGGGAAGAAATATACTATGGAAGTCAATTGCTACCGGTTTCCAACATTCTTCAAAATATCTTCTTTTGTGAAAGTCTTTAGTCTTTAAGGTGAACTGTCCCTAAAAAGGCACTGGTTGTAATGTACATTAGTTTACACTAGAGGGCGACAGTAGCCGATAATCTGGTAACAAAAAATTTCAACAGAGATGAGATAATACATTTGGACTAGGGCTGAACAATAAATCGTTTGAGCATCGATATGAAAGTCGATGATTAGATTATTTATTATATCGAAGATTAGATTATTTATTACTGATTAAAAAATAAAGATATTTCTAAATATCTTTTTTTTTAAATATTCAAATAATTATGACAGTGTTATTTTGCATTTTATTGTACAATGTTTGTACCGGATTACAGTTTACTTCTCAGAAAACCAAAAAGAACTTTTTACTTATTTTTGCTGACAATTTATTATAGTGTATACAGGCACACTTCATAGAAAAAAGGCTTGAGGCACCCCAGTTTAAATTATTAAAGTTATTCCAAAAATAAATATTCAGATCATCAGGTGGAATAATATTCATATCACAATATATACTGCAGCAAAACAAAATATTGCAATGTCAGATTTTCCAATATAGTGCAGCCCTAATACAGATAGTGTTATGAAAAAAGTAATATACTAAAGTCCCTTTAATGTGAAAGTAATTCACATTATTCTGTGTTATGTTATTTATTTATTATTTTTTAGTTTTATGGTAAGGCATGCTTCAAATTGTAATATATTACTTTTTTATCCAACACTGCATTAAAATTAGATTTAGTTAGTTAAGAATGTTTTTCATCAAGTCAAATTTAGGACTTTTTAAGACAATCATGAAAGAAATTTCAGACTTAAACAGGGCTAAATCCTAAGATTTTTTTCTAATAGCCTGGTTGGGCCAGCGGTCTTGTCCTTTAAAAAAAAAAGGTATTTCTTATTTTCCACATTTTTAATAATGAGTTAAACAAGCATTTTTTTAACATAGATTTTCTTTGAAATAAGTTTTAAAATATATAATAAACTAAATATGCACGGTTCGCACCCCAGCTGGATATACATGGACAGGGGAAAATTAGGACCCATTCAAAATGGTTTAAGACCAACAAGACAATATTTCAGGTGACTGAAATACAAATCTCAGAATTTCTAAAAGTTTTTAAGGCCTAAATTTTAGTTTTTAAATTTGAGACACTGCTAAATGTCTAGAGATTTGCCTGTCTTGCCAGGCCAATTGAAAAGAAAGACTCAATTTTGTCGAATAAATCCTTGATATAATTTCCAAAATAATATTTAATACTGTAATTAGTAATATTGGAGAGATACAGTCCCACTGCAAAAATGGATTGTTTAGTCCCATCTAAAAATTCATAAACCATGAAGTATTTGGAAGTATCATAAAGTAATATTGTTTTGTTTTCAGAAATAATAAGTCAAAATTAAGTGAGTTGATCTTTAAAACAAGCTAAATAATCTGCCAGTGGACTAAGCAGATTTAATTAAGATTTTCAGATTGAAGTAGGAATACTTTACTTACCCCACTAGCAGATAATTTAACTTGTAAAACAACTAATAATCAGAAAAGCAAAAATAAGGTCAAGAATCTTGGTGTGACAAAATGTCAAATCAGTAACTAAATCTGTACACTATCATCTCAAAAACATTGCAAGAATTAGATGCTTTGTTTCCAGTGAAGACTTAGAGAAACTTGTTCATGCTTTTATCAGCAGCAGGGTGGATTACTGTAATGGCCTCCTCACTGGCCTTCCCAAAAAGACAATCAGATAGTTGCAACTCACCCAGAATGCTGCGGCCAGGATTCTGACCAGAACCAGGAAATCAGAGCACATCACAACTGTCCTTAGGTCTTTACACTGGCTCACAGTTACATTCAGAATAGAGTTTAAAGTATTATTACTGGTCTATAAATCACTAAATGGCCTAGGACCTCAATACATTTCAGATATGCTGACTGAATACAAACCTAACAGATCACTCAGATCTTTAGGATCATATAAACTAGAAGTTCCAAGAGTTCAGTCAAAGCAGGGTGAATCGGCTTTCAGCTACTACACCCTCGCTGCTGGAATCAGCTTCCAGAAATGATCAGATGTGCTCCAACATTAAGCACGTTCAAATCAAGACTGAAAACACATCTGTTTAGCTGTGCCTTTACTGAATGAGCACTGTGCTGCGTCCGACAGATTGCACTATTACTGTATGTCTTTATTTTCTTTTTCATTCTTTTATAACCTGTTTAACACATTTTAATCTGTTTTTAGGCGAGGCAGTGGCGCAGTGGGTAGTGCTGTCGCCTCACAGCAAGAAGGTCACTGGGTCGCTGGTTTGAACCTCGGCTCAGTTGGTGTTTCTGTGTGGAGTTTGCATGTTCTCCCTGCCTTCGCGTGGGTTTCCTCCTGGTGCTCCGGTTTCCCCCACAGTCCAAAGACATGCGGTACAGGTGAATTGGGTAGGCTAAATTGTCCGTAGTGTATGAGTGTGTGTGTGAATGTGTGTGTGGATGTTTCCCAGAGATAGGTTGCGGCCGGAAGGACATCCGCTGCGTAAAAACTTGCTGGATAAGTTGGCGGTTCATTCCGCTGTGGCGACCCCGGATTAATAAAGGGACTAAGCCGACAAGAAAATGAATGAATTAATAATCTGTTTTTATTCTTGTTTATGTAAAGCACTTTGAATTACCCCTGTTTATGAAATGTGCTTGCCTAAAAACTCACAAAATTTTGATTTATTAATTCTGAAAACAAAACAATGCTATTTACCTTACAAGAAAATGCCTCTTGTTTTAAGAATTTTAAGATATTGGAATAAAAACAAGTGTGTGTGCAGTCAGCGTGTGGAAAAAAGGCCTTAAATGAAAATCCTAGACTGGGAAAAGCCCACAGAATAAAGTGGTTTGGATGAAGTCCCATTTAATATCACGGAGCAAACCCTGAATATGACACAGCCTGATCTTGGCAGGGGTATAAAGCTGTGTTTTGGAGTCAGGCATTGTTGAGTGAGCTGGCTGCGGTGTGGATGATGTTTCAGTGTGGTTTGTGTACTGTACCTAATGAAGGCTCGGGTGAGATCCCGATGCTCTGGAGCAGGGCCTCAGTTTCTCTGCGCTTTCGGTCCAAATCCGAGTCTTCAGGAGCCACTTCTGCTTTCTGTTGTGTCTCTGACTGCTCACATTTCAAGCAAATGCAAATACAGCAGGCAGTTCATTGAGGTAAAGTTGGATTTATATTTGCACATTCGTTCAGTGACATGCTCCCTATATTGTTAATTATAGTAGTTTGAATAATCAGTCAAAAAAAAGCTTGCAAGTATGACTTCAAAACAACATTAGCACTATTTAATCTGTTGTACTTTGATAGTCATTGTCTGCTAATATGATTTCTCTGTTCAGAATTTATTAATAACACCTTTCTGAAATCATATTACCATGGAAAAGTCCTAAAGCGCGAATATAAAACAAACAATATAGGCAGGTTTGCTCTCAGGATGTCTCAATTAAATGCTTTCTCACCTCTTTCTTCTTTTTTTCTTCCTCCTTTCTCTTTTTTTCCTCTCGGATTTGAGCAAGGCGCTGTTTCTTGCGCTCAAGTTCGGCTTTTAGGTCACTCTTATCAGCCATTTTGTCCTGCAACAAAACAATCACAGCAGTTTTGCACATCTGTCCCGTCTAAGCAGGAGACTTCTGCAGATTGAACTATTTTTAGGCTGCTTGTTCATAAAAAACAAAAGTTAAAAATCACTGTAAAATGAGTGTTTTGTAATTCAATAGCAAATCATTTTAAATATTTATGAGTGATCTGAAGGTCAATTTGATTCTCTAATATTGTAAATAATGTAATTAATGTATTAGTTTCATTAAGTGTGGCATAACTGGATCTCCAGGATCTAGAATGTCTAAACATATTGGATAATGAATAATTCCTAGGCTTTAACAAATGATAAATCTTTGCATGTGATGAAATGAAGAGGAAATAAAAACAAAATAATAGCAAACTGTGGGGAAAGGAGCTTCATTAATGCTTAAAAAAACAAGATGAAACAAAAACAAACTAAAATGCATTAAAAGACTTTAAATATTGCAAATAATGTAAAAGAAATGTATTAGTTTCATAATACATAATCAAAATACATCCGTGCAGCATAACCGGATCTTCAGGATGTAATATTTATTAACATACTGGAGAATTAATAATTCCTAGGCTTTAACAAATGATAAATGTATGCATGTGATAAAGGAAAAAGGAAATAAAAGCATAATAGCAAACTGTGATGGAAAATATATTTATTAAAGCTTGAATGGAACAAAAACAAACCGAAAATGCAACTTAGGTACGACATATCAAATGAAAGTAAAAAAAAAAAATATATATATATATATATATATATATATATATATATATATATATATATATATATAAAAAGACTTGTTTGAACAAGTGAAATTCAGAAAATGCTTTAAATGAAGACAAATGTGGACAATCGGATATCATATTATGCATTTTAAAAACATAACAGACACCATTCACAAATATTGAAAATCAAGTGGAAGCACAAATGATGACAACATGGCTATTTTAAATATTCAAGAGACATCTGAAAGCCAATTTGATTTGCTAATATTGTAAATAATGTAATAAACGTATTATTGTCAGATGGTGTCTTAACATATTGGATAATGAATAATTCCTAGGCTTTAAAAAATGATAAATGTATGCATGTGGTGAAATGAAGAGGAAATAAAAACAAAATAATAGCAAACTGTGGAGAAATAGCTTTATAGATGCTTAAAAACAAAATGAATGGAACAAAAACAAACTGAAGATGCATTAGAGGTACAACACATCAAATAAATGTAAAAAAATTGCAGAAATACAAATAAAAAACATAACGTGACGTGTATGAATGAGTGGAATTCATAAATGAAGACAAACGTGGCCAATCATATATCATAATGCTAATTTTACAAACATAACAGACACCACTCACAAATATCGAAACTCTAGATGATGCACAAATAATGATATGGCTATTTTAAATATTTATGAGGCATCTGAAAGCCAATTAAATGCTCTAAGATTGTAAATAATGTAATTAATGTATTAGTTTCATTAGGTGTGGCATAACTGGATCTCCAGGATCTAGAACAGGGGTGCTCAATCCTGTTCCTGGAGATCTACCTTCCTGCAGATTTCAGTTGCTACCCATATAAAACACACCTGCCTGTAATTATCAAGTGGTGTTCAGGTCCTAATTAATTGGTTCAGGTGTGTTTGATATGGGTAGCAACTGAAATCTGCATGAAGGTGGCTCTCCAGGAACAGGGTTGAGCACCCCTGATCTATTGGATAATGAACAATTCCTAGGCTTTAAAAAATAATAAAATGTATGCATGTGATGAACTGAAGAGAAAATAAAAGCAAAATAATAGCAAACTGTGGGGAAAATAGCTTAATTATAGCTTGAATGGAACAAAAACAAACTGAAACTGCATTGGAGGTACACTACATTAAATAAATGTAAAAAAAAACACAAATGTTGAAGCAAACGTCACGTGTTAGAACAAGTGGAATATGAAGGAAAACATGTGGACAATCATATATCGTAATGCTAATTTTAAAGACATAACAAACACCATTCACGAATATTGAAAATCTAGATGATGCACAAATGATGACATGGCTATTTTAAATATTTATAAGACATCTGAAGGTCAATTTAATTCTCTAAAATTGTAAATAATGTAATAAATGTATTAGTTTCATTAGGTGTGGCATAACTGGATCTCCAGAATCTAAAATGTCTAAACATATTGCATAATGAATAATTCCTAGGCTTTAATAAATGATAAATGTATGCATGTGATGAACTGAAGAGGAAATAAAAGCAAAATAATACCAAAACTGTGGGGAAAATAGCTTAATTATAGCTTGAATGGAACAAAAACAAACTAAAACTGCATTGGATGTACAATACATCAAATAAATGTAAAAAAATAAAAATAAAAAATACACAAATGTTGAAGCAAACGTCACGTGTTTGAACAAGTGGAATATGAAGGAAAACATGTGGACAATCATATACCGTAATGCTAATTTTAAAGACAGCAAACACCATACACAAATATTGAAAATCTAGATGATGCACAAATGATGACATGGCTATTTTAAATATTTATAAGACATCTGAAGGTCAATTTAATTCTCTAAAATTGTAAATAAATGTAATAAATGTATTAGTTTCATTAGGTGTGGCATAACTGGATCTCCAGGATCTAAAATGTCTAAACATATTGGATAATGAATAATTCCTAGGCTTTAATAAATGATAAATGCATGCATGTGATGAAATGAATAGAAAATAAAAACAAAATAATACCAAAACTGTGGGGAAAATAGCTTTATTATAGCTTGAAAACAACATGAATGAAACAAAAACAAACAGAAAATGCATTAGAGGTACAATATATCAAATAAAAATGCACAAATATATATTAAAACAAACGTTCATGCAAACGTCAAGTGTTCAAACAAGTGGAATTTATAAAATGCTTGAGAAATGAAGACACATGTGGACAATCAGATATCATGATGCTAATTTTACAGACACTACTCACAAATAATGAAAATCCAGTGGAAGCACAAATGATGACATGACTATTGCTAACATTTCTGAGACATCTGAAAGCCAATTTGATTCTCTATTATTTTAAATAATGTAATAAATGTATTGGTTTTAGAAAGTGTGGCATAACTGGATCTCCAAGATGTGATATTTCTAAACATATTAGATAATTAATAATTTAAATGCTTTAACAAATGATAAATGTGTACATGTGATAAAATTAAACAAAATAATACCAAACTGTAGGGGGAAAAGAGCTTTATTAAAGCTTAAAAACAACATGAATGAAACAAAAACAAACTGAAGATGCATAAGAGGTACGACACATTAAATAAATGCTAAATATACACAAATATATAAAAGATGTTCATGCAAACGTCACGTGTAAGAACAAGTGGAATTCATAAAGTGCTTTAAATGAAGACAAATGTGGACAATCATATATCATACTGATCATTTTACAGACACCATTCTCTAATGCTGAAAATCTAGAGGAAGCACAAATGATAACAACATGGCTATTGCTAACAGCATAAACCAAAAGAATCACATGACGTCACAATCCATCTGCGATTATGAAGTCATCGAATATAAAGCGGGAAAGACCGCGAAAGGCACGTCTGAAAGCTCGCAGTCATGTGAGCCTGAGGTGTGTTTTACTCTTCCTACCTGTTCAGTGTGGATGCTGTAAATATGCTGTATCACTGCTGCTGATGTACACAATCTGCCGTCCGCTTTAACACGTCACTTGATTTAAAACATGTTGGAGGTCGTGCGATGCGATCGGTCACAAATGCAACGAAGATGATGACAGGTTTTTTAGGCTAATGGCCTACATTTTTTAGAAGTGGCAGATGCTCTATCACCGCCTCGAGATAACTAAAAGATCCCACCTCTCCTCTTCCAAATGCTTTAATATACAAATACATTTATCCAGAGCCACAGTGCCACCTAGCGACGAAATATCGCCTTGACCCACAAATGTAAACATTAAACTGTTAAGCCACTTCTAATCTAACATATAACGTAAAAAAGGGCATATTACATTGAACCTGCTTCGGTTTTACATTCCTCACCCACTGATGTTTACTTGCTATCTCAGCTAGTTACGTTTGTAAAACTTGTTTAACCCTAAAAAAACATTTCCTGAAAGAATATATTTATTTATATTTATGTATTACACACACAAAGCTCATTTATTTTATTCAAAAAACGTATGAAATTCTAATTATTAAAACTTAAAAATTATGCTGATTAGTATTTTTTTATTTTGAGTGTTTTCAAATCTGCATTATTTTGTTCTAATTTTAATCAAATATATGTGCTTTTTGTGTATTTTGTAGTTGTACATATTTTGTACATTTATTTTTTTAAATTAAAATATTTTGCAGTATATTTCTGCTTTGTTCTAAATAAATATGTAGTTTAGTGTGCAGTCATTAGTTAGATCTTCAATTGGTTTAATCCAATGAATGCTGATTTTTTAAGCTAATTTAATTACTGATTAATTTTTATTCAAGTTTTTTATTAGACAATAAAAATGTGTATTCCCTCATTTTTACAATATGGTTATAATTTTAGTTATTGTATTAAATATTAGGTATTAAATATATATTAGTTATTATATTTATATATATTTATATATATATATATATATATATATATATATACACACACACACACACACACACACACACACACATACATACATACATACATACATACATACATACATACACACACATACATACATACATATATATATATATATATATATATATATATATATATATATATATATATATATATATATATATATATATATATATATATATATATATATATATATACATACACACACACCAGGGGTGTCCAAAGAAAGACAAAAGAATTCAAGTGTATAATAAGTGGTGTCTGTACAATTCATATCAGTTTCACAAGCTGAATCCTGTTAGACAATGTATTTAAAAATAAGAATGTTCGATTCAATCATTGTGCACCACTAGATGGAGACAAGCTCCTAATGAGCAAGTTCAAGCTTTTTGTCATTCTGCATTCTGCTAAAAATAGATTTTAAAAGCCGAACTATGATTTGTTGTTTTAGGCTGATCTTCCAGTCTAAGATATAAATAAATATCGGTATATAATATAAATGGTACTTGCAAAATTAATAAAATAAAATTTCATAATCGACATAAATTGCTCATAAAATTCCAAGTATAGGACAAATGGGTAAACAGTTAACAGAAATAATTTTGCATTTATTTTTGTGATTTTATTATTATGATTATTATTGTTGTTGATATTGTTATTATTATTATATACCATGCAAAATGTGTGAATATGAGTGTACGGTCGTTTCACAGTACTGGGTTGCAGCTGGAAGGGCATCCGCTGTGTAAAACATATGCTGGATAAGTTGATGGTTCATTCCGCTGTGGTGACCCCAGATTAATAGAGACTAAACCTAAGGAACATGAATGAATACCATGAACAACAATTGAAACACTTAATTTTGTTAGATACCCCTTTTATTCATTTTTTTTCCATCACCACACATTTAATTATCAAAAACGTGTCCTTCTCATTAAAATAAATTATAATATTGCATAATTAATAACCGTCATTTAGAGGATGCGGAACACACTGTATAACCCACATAAAGATGACTTTAAAAAAACTGTCTCTGCCCCACTCCCAATAACCTTTGCTCTAAATTTGCTCTGCGCATGCGTCAACACGCAAGGCGATATAGACGTATGTCTCCTAGATCACGATGAGCATTTTTGTGTCCTGCGCTAGACACAGAATGCGATTGTTTTTTACATTCAGTCTTTTAATATAGTTTATATAACGCCATTAAATCATTCTACCTTCAGTAAATGATTAGAAAACAAACCTTGAGGTGTGCGTTAAAATCTATAATATTACATCTATGCAGTGTGGAGTAACAGTCAGTCTCCCCCTCCCCTCCCTCTCCTGTGTCCTGTGTTTGTACCCTGTTTTGTGCCTTGTGCTGCTCATTATTTCAACGCAATGACAAATTAAACTGGATTAGAGTGATTCGGGAGGACTCTTCGTCTGACAGGATTTCTGCGATGATAAAGTAACAGGCTGCTCGAGAATGTCAAACTTTGCCAACTGCATCTGATGAGACAAGGACGAAAACATTTGCAACATCTGTGGATTAAACTTGAAGATCAAGATGAAGTTCGCCCAGATCATGCTGAAGAACAGCTCGAAGCTGAACATACCCAAGCAAGTGGACAGATTTTCTAAATTCTCCCCGTCGCCGCTGTCAATGAAGCAGTTCATAGACTTTGGTGAGTTGTTGTTTACCTGTTTCTGTGGTGAAGAGCTATTCAGCTCACTAACTAGACATTCAGTTACATTTCTTTTTGTAGAAACAAAGACGCAATTAAACTAAGCACATGAATCATTCAGTAACAACGTGTTTACACCAAGGTAACTTCATAGAAACAAAACAATAACAAAAAAATCCATGGTATGGTGTTATTACAGTATGGTGTTGTGGTAGTGTTCATTAGTAGTATGTAGTAGTTGTGGTAGTGTATTTCTTTCGTATAGAAAAACTATACACCACCATAACTCTACCATATAACCAAAGTTATTATGTGCATAATGAGATATAGTGCAGATGATTATATAGGGAACTCACTAGGTTTTGAGACGCAGCCTTTCTGTTATTTTGGTATGTGAGACTCCAGAAGGCAAACATTTGTTCAATCCTTTTTAATTATTTCATAATATGTATACTATGTTTTCGACTATATGAGAAGTAATATTTAATAACACAAGAAGTCGTCGTTTTGTTTAACTAATAATCCATGCTGAATCCGATCAGCCTTTTTTAATGAGTACTGTAAGTGTGGGAAAAAACTTATACAAAAGATTAGTCAGTATTGAAGCCAAATCTGGAGCTAATGTAACAAAATAACTTCTGAATCCGATAACAGTCCAAAAATTTGTAGCTCAAACTTATAATAAAATTGTTAAAAAAATAAATAAATAAAAAAAAAAAAATAAAAAAATAAAA